TCACTGAGGTGGGTGTCAGGTGGGGGGTGGGGTGGGCCAATGATTTAAGGGGTGCTGACAAGGTAGGTGTCAGTTGGGGTGGGGTGGGGGAGGGGGTGGGTCAGCAAGAAAAAAGCAATAGACATTCCTGAAAATCCATTATACATTTTTTTTGAAAAATGACCGTTAATTTCGGACGTCATAAATGAACGACCCCTTATTAAAATTAGAGTTTCAAAAAAAAAATCATCAAATATCCAAAAATTCTAAATGCACAGAGTTTGCATCAAAAAGGTCACGAAAATATTCTATACATGATTGTGAGTATGATTGATTAGAACACTTGAGTATGTTGGATGTATCATAATTCATGATGGATCGATGATTGGTGAAGTTTGAGTCAGAATAATTTGTATAAAAAATAATCGAAATGTAACGGAAATAATTTATGGAATTTTTAAAGACATGACGACATGAGGTTTGAATTTAAAGTTATGTTTAATTCAGATGCGTATTATGAGTGAGGATTTTTGAGAATAAGCTCCAACTAATGTTTATTCTTGACTAGAAATTACTTTTTCACTAGAAGAATTTACTCGGAACGAATTTCAAAAATCCCAGGACTTAATGACGTGATATTTAGAAGTCCACTAGAAATCTTTACTTTAGTCGATCAATAGCTTACAATAGGATTCAAAAAATCATGTCTAGACGTGCATTTTATTTGGAATTTTCAGGAATAATTTCAAGTTTATACATCTTGCATTTTAGTCTCTGCCTATTATGCTTGATAAGGCTGTCTGAAATTGGACCTAATGGTCTACCAGTTCAGAATATTCAGTACTTTCACATCCTTTCTAGTTCTCGAATCTCCGTTTTCTCCACATTCAGAAAAATCAACTTATTACGTACAAAAATGCGCTCTAGTCATTCCATCACAAGATTGCCCAAAGAACAACGTCTCGTGCAGTTTTTCTTTATTTCGTCTAAAAATAATTTTATTTTCAATTTTTCATTTTTTTATTTATTTCTTTTTTTTTCTCTTTCAATTTTTCATCGCCGTTCCTACATTTTTTTTCTATGGATATAACAACAAAAATTCTGTTTAAAATGAAATAAATCCACCATGTGTTCCATTTATTTTGATTCATTGTCAATCCCAAAAAAAACATCTATCCACACATGCGATCTTGTGTATGCTTTAAAAAAAATCCGTAAAAAAATCGCACGACAGAATCAGGAGCATTTCCTATTCCCAAATGTGAATCTGATTTGGACATGTTGAGAATGTGTCTCAAAGGTAAATAATTTAAGACAAATGACTACCAGACTGCTTGTCGTCTACTTACTAAAATTTTTATTACCATGAATGCCTTTTTGTTCCGATAACACACAGAATGAGTTTGAGCGCAACATGCTGTATATATTCTGTGTGATGTGATAATAATTTATATAGCTGTATGTGTATATGTGTCTGTTCAACTACTACTGCCAGCTCATCGTCGAAAGAAAAGGAGTGTGAATTTTCCTCTCTATATTGTTTTAAACCACTTAACCCATTCTACTCACAATCTAATACTTCTCTTTTGGCTTGATGCTGCTTCTATTTTAAATCCATGTTGTGTGACACAAAAGAATTTTTCTTATAAATTTTACTACCGAACGTGGATATACGAAAAACTTTTTTATATTCTCTCATTTAACAACAATATTTTGTTCTCTAGACAGTTTGTTGTGCTTGGATAACATGAATGAGTCTGCAATATAACACAATTAATATGTTTATTTGTTGTTACTCTAAAACATTCTAAATGTGACAAAAAATTGTCATTTTATGCTTTTGAAAATTTGCCAAGTGTACTCAAGCTTTATAAGCCTTGTTTTTTGGAAAAATTCAATATACTTACTGATTCTGCTTATAACTAATAATGCATAAACACATAAAGTGCTTAATAGTATATTGGATAGTCTGTGTTTCAATTATGGAATGAGATTATACAAGTTTTGTGGATAAAGCTTTAGTTTCATTTATTTCAATGTCGGAAATGTATTTTGGGTCATGGTTCGATAGATTTTTATCAATATTGTTCCTATTTTGACAAGTCATGAAAGACATAACTATGGTAATTAAGATATTGAATGTTAATTAAAATTACAATTTGAATTGAAAGGAATGGAGATGGAAGGGATGTTGGAAGTGATTGAAGATGAGTTTGGGGGTTTGGTTGTTAAGGTTTTTGGGTGGATTCAAAATAGTTTTTATGAAATTTTATCATTTGGGCAATTCCATGAGTGATAAAATGCAAGTAAAATTCTTTTTGATCAAAATACTCTTAAAATAACACCTTTTTCCGTTCTTTTAAAAATTTATAATTAGTAATAACTCAAGATATTCATTTTAAAATAGGTAGCTAAACGTTTAAAGGTCTATTTACTAAAATAATTCAGTTTTTTCATCGTTAATCGGTTAAATTTACGAAAATTTCGCTTCTTATATCCTTAAAAAAGTCTACAAATAACCATTTTTTGTGCTCAAGTATATTTTTAATCCATAAATATTCACTTTTTCTACTTATTTGTACACTTTTTCTGTTCTTAAATGCTTTATTCACAGAGAAAATTAAAAAATACTGCGTTAATCGGTTAAGTTTTCAGCGCTTTATCCAAAACCAACAAAAATACAGAAAATTTGAATTTTGAATTTCCGTTAAATTTGCTTAGAATATATTATTGCTAAGAATAGTTTCTCTTCGAAAAATAACATTTTGTTGGGTTAATTGGGGTTAATAATGAATTTAATTTGTTTTTTTTTTCATGTTAACATCATAATTTTGTGTAATAATCGTAATAATAATCAAGGCAATGAAAATTTGTTTAAATCTTTTGAAAATTTGTAACGGTAAAAAAAATTCAAATTACTACAAGTAAAAAAATATTACAACTTGCTTTTTCTCAGTTCCCTTTACTCGTGGAATTGCCCATTTTGTAGAATTATGTTTCTGAATCTCCTTCAACATCCTATCAATATTATTATTATCTCCCAACTTAACCTCCACAAATGCTATATTGTGCTTCTTTACAACTTGTCCCCCATTTCAAGGGACTTGATACTATTTATATCTTACAATGTCTGTATACAAGGCTAGTGCTCAGTTTCAAAGGGCTATCCTGGACGCCTCCTTCAGTCAGCTTATCTGGCCTCAGCTAGCTCTTGACACCTTCTTGATACTGGAGTATCAAGTGGAGCATCACTGCCTAAACGAATAATTCCACCAGACTTTCAACCCCTCCCATTCCACAAAAAAAAATCATCAGACAGATTAAACAATCAAAAACAATGTAAATCTCACCACAATACATTCAATATATTATCAATAACAGCCTTAATGTCATCATCATGCTCAATGTCATTAAAACAAAACAAAAGCGCCACAATACCCACAAAACATTCTAAACTTATCAATAATATCATCTCGATACTAATCAATAAATACAATAAAACAAAAGGAATTATATTTAATGGGAAATGGTGTCTGCTATATAAGCTGCAGTATATAACATTGGGTACATTACGAAAATTTCTATGTGCAATCCTTTTTCTCGAAATTGAAATTTAATCTCTGGAATATTTTCAACTCTGACAAATGATATGATATGAGAATTAAAGATAGAAAAGATATGGGAATGATATAGACATACATAGAGCATAGAGTACGGAATAGAGTAATAACAATAATGAAGATTTGTGTGATATATTCATCTGACAAATGAAAATGCGATGTTGCACATATCGTGAAGCACCACATTCAGCGTCATCATAAGTTGAATAGCATCAGACACTTATGACTCTAATTTTTGTGGATAATTTAATGATCCTCATATAAAATTCCCTAAATGCTCGTTCCCGTTCTATTTTGTGAAAGGATTTTGAAAATTATAAATTTTTATGATAGCATTTACGCGTACTCTATGGGATTATTATGCTTACGGATATCTCTTTGATAGAGGACATCCGACTTGTGGCGATGAGAAAAAGTTTTTTAAGGGGTTTGCTGGGAATGATGTTGATTTTGTGGACGATTTGTCTTTGATAAATTAGATTTTTGTCTAAGAAATTAAACAGTGGCTTAATTAGGGTCTGAAAAGTGTGTTAATTGGCTTCAAGCACTATTCCTTGGCAGAGATAAATTCAAATAAATCATCGTCTACCACAGGATTAGAAGGGTTGGGTTTACAAATTTAAGAACCAAATTTGTCAGGTTCATAGCAATAACTTCACAGGTTTCTAGCCAGAACCTGTCAGGTTCCAAGAGCGAAGAAAGGTCACATTAGATGTTGTTCACTGAGATGGATGTCTTTTTGAGTCTGAACTAAGCTTACATCAAATCGCACACTTAACTCCTCTGTCTTCCTCCACAAAAAACTCAAATACATACCAAAATGCGCCTTATACACTCATTAAAAAGTTGCACCACCGCTTAGTTGTTTACATTTTCTCCCCTTTTTCATCATTATAGCCATGCTCTTTTTGCTTCACTTACAACTGCTGATGATGTTGATACTTCTGATGATATACAAGTACCGAGCAAAAAGGGGCGAACTGATAAATTTAATTATGCCTAGCTAATTATACCCTTAAGATTGCTACCGGGGCCGTCGACTGATGTTCATTTATTTTACTTATCTTCTCATTTTGTTGTCGTCTTATTCCTAATATTATAGGCAGCCAGATAGATTGAGCAAAAAAAAAATTGGCAAACACGAACATTTTTGATCGATGATGTTGCACAATTGACTGTTGTTTTAATTTGTTTGTTGTATTTATTGCTTTAATTAATTCAATAACTTTCCTCGTTTGCCTCTAGATAATTTCAAATTAAGGGCTTTTTAAATCACACAAAATAACTTTTTAACTCAATTATTGTGTGCATAAAATTTTATTTTTGTTGTTGTTGTGCCATGAAATATTTTTTATTGTAAAATTCTTTCGTTAATTTAATTTCTTTTTTATGCTTTTTCAGTAACACGTTTACGTGAACAATGGGACGATACATCGAATTGCGTTATGAAGAGGAAATCGGAGCTTGTAGCGATGCTGGGTGATTCACAAAGGTTATTATACTCTTATATACTTAATCCTGGTTTTTTGTGCATTATAAGCAAGTTGAGAGGAAAGAAAATCAATTCATATTTGATGATGATGTCCGTTTGTGAGATAAATAACATCAAATATCGATTAGTTTATTAATTTTTCATAAACTCGATTTTTTTCTTCTCTCTCTTCAATTCATCTTCGTGTTTTACTGTATGTGCATGATTTTTGTGTCTCTAGAGGTCTCACATGTCTCATGCCATTTTTAGATTTATCGAGTAAATTTGAATTTGTTTGCTTCTGAACAAATCATTATTAAATTGTGTAGAAAATTTGATACATTGATGGAAAAATATTCTTTTGATTACTGAAGCTTTAAGTTCTTGAAATTTTCTATTTTTGTGGGATTTGTTTATACATAGACACTCGATGTTAAATTAGTGCAACTGTTGTGCTGTAAATAATATGGCATGCAACTGTTGTACTTAAAATAATATGGCACGCAACTGTTGTGCTGTAAATAATATGGCAAGCAACTGTTGTACTTAAAATAATATTGCATGCAACTATTGTACTTAAAATAATATGGCATGCAACTGTTGTGCTGTAAATAATATGGCAAGCAACTGTTGTACTTAAAATAATATGGCATGCAACTGTTATATTTAAAATAATATGACATGCAACTGTTATGCTGCAAATAATATGGCATGCAACTATTGTACTTAAAATAATATGGCATGCAACTGTTGTGCTGTAAATAATATGGCAAGCAACTGTTGTGCTGTAAATAATATGGCAAGCAACTTTTGTACTTAAAATAATATGGCAAGCAAGTGTTGTACTTAAAATAATATGGCAAGCAACTGTTGTACTTAAAATAATATGGCATACAACTGTTGTACTGAAAATAATATGACGTGCAACTGTTGTACTGAAAATAATATGGCACGCAACTGTTGTGCGATATTTTACAACTAAATAAACCGAGTGAGCAAACCTAATCATTAGTACTTAAACAATTTTTAAAGGAAATTTTCGAGAAGCTTAATTCACAAAAAGCTCAACCCACTCGAAAATTGACTAATTAGATGATCTGCAGATTTTTCCTTAGAATTTCTGCAACCTTCCAAATAAACCATCAAATTTTTTTTCTCATAATCATAAAAATAACTTTCATGAACGGCAATATGAAATGATGTGAACCTCTAAACACAATTTGGCACTGTTCCTGATTTTCACTTTTAGTAAAACAAATAAAAATAATAAGAACGATAACAATAGCAATTGTGCATGTCATATATTTCATAAAAATATCATTTTTTCTCTTTATATTTACAGATATGACTCGAAACGGCAGGAAATTGAAGCTTGGCTCATGCGAATGGAGAGTCGAGCAGAGAGAATGGGAAATGCGGCCGCACAAGCAGATGTTTTAGACTTTTCTGCGCTCGAGGCATCACAGAAAGAGCAAAAGGTTTGTGGCAATGATGATTTTCACTCCTTTATTTTTTTGTTGTTGTCATGACATTATTTTTTGTGGTCGATTTAAATTCTCAAAATTTTTCTTCGTTTTTTCTGCTGTTTCACGTTGGTTTCGCTCATGTCATGAAACATGAAATATTAATGATTTTCTACTTCTTCTTGTACCTTTTTGCTGTTCTATCAAAAATATTATGATAAGAAGAATTTTCCTTTCCTTTTTTATTTCAACCGTGAAAAATTAGATGTTCCACGCTGAATTACACACCTACAAGCATCACATCGAACTTTTCAATCAATTAACTCAAAAGCTTATTGCCGTCTATCCAGCTGATGACACATCACGAATCAAGCGAATTACGGAGAGTGTTAATCTCAGGTGAGTTTTCTTCAATTTTTTTTTATTTGTTCCAGCCACAATGGCAGTTATCATTTTTCATCTTCTTCATATTTTTCCACTGCTATGCTCGACTTCTTCATTTGTTCTCGTCTTATTTTCTGGGCAATAATTTACGTTCTAATTCTCCCTCAATTTTTTATGAGGGATTTTTGTTTCCAATGTGTGGACATTGGAATTAAAGACTGTGGGACAACAACTTGATAGAAAGTTGTTGGAAATTTTCGGATTGTGGTAGAAAAAATTATTATTTGAGGCAGGAATTTTGAGTTTGGGGAAAGTAATTCTAATTTTTTTTAAATGAATTTTTAATGAGATCTGTAATAAATTCATAACATGATTGGATATTACTAATAAATAATGGGGAATAAAAGTTTTGTTATTCTAGGTTAAAATTATTTAATGAATAAATTTGAATACTTAAAGTTCTTCCTGCCTCATAAAAAATTATTGAAGCATGTAATAAAAACAACTTTACTAAGATTTAATCTATGTCTGTTGTCTGGCTATGAGGCATATTTTGGGACAAAAGTGGACTGGAAATATCATGAATCTCTTTAATTAGTCTTTAGCAAAACCACTAAATGTGCTTTGAATCAAATATGTATCAATAACCTAAAATAATTGCTTGAGTAACCCTCTTCAGGCTTCATGGCTATTCAAAAAACAAAATTTGATACTAAACGTGTCTAAGGAGTCAAATTTTGCTCTGTAATGCATTTGGAGCCAAAAATTTTTTGAAACGAGGTTCTGAAGAGTTTGACGAGCTTTTTGGGGTCATATCCTTAAATTTCTGGAAATGATTATTTTATTTATTAGATGCTCATCCTGAAAGAGCTGTTTTGTACGGTGAGGTCCTCGGTTTATATTTACTTGATGTAAATATAGTTTTACTACTTAATCGAAGAGCGAACTCCAGATTTTAAAAAATCAAAATGCTTTAATGCATTTTTTACTCATTTTAGAGAGCTCGAGTTTATTTTACTAGCTCATTTCCAATAACTAGGGCTTCTCGGATGATTAAAAGAATTTAAACTTTAATTCATACTATAATTTAAGGTTTTTATATATCATTTGAAAAACACGTGATGAGTGCGTTCAAAAATTTGATTTTTTCTGAGCTAGTTATTTGCTTATGGACTGGCATATTATTGGAAAATGTATATGGATCGCTACATCAAAAATGTGCTAGATATACTTTATAAAAAACAACAATATAAGTTTTTTTAAAAAAAAAATTACAAAAGTCCTCGTGTTATTGATCGAGGGACTTCAGCGCATTTTTGACGAAGCGATCAGTATTTGATTATAATTAATAATTTGCTGCAATGAATTTCCATATAGAAAAAGTTTATCATTTAACGGTTTTTTAAAATTTGAAATTTTACAACGGCTAGAAAAAATTTGAAATTATAGAGGTAAATTTGAATTTATAGAGGTAAAACAAAATTTGAGCAGGTTACACTGAAAACAAAACAAAAACTCATTAATTATAGCATAAATACACTGCTTGAAGACTTTTAACTGTTCGATCGGACAATAAACAATAGTAACGGAGCTAATAAAACAAATCCGAGCTCTCTACGATGTCTGGTTGCAAAGTTTTTATGCTTGCCCGAACGAACGAACGAACGAACGAACGAACAAAGTGTATTATTGAGCTCCCTTTTCGAAAACAAGTTTTCAAAAATGCGCTAAAAATTGATAAATACCAAAGCAATTCTAAATCTTGAATCATTAAATTAAATTAGCTTTCGAAACTTCCATAAAATTCTCGAACTTGAATGAAACTTTAATCGTATTGCTGCCTAGATAAAGAAGACTTTAATGTTTTGAGATAAATTCTCGTTTCCATAGATATAAGAATTCAATAATGTTATCATTAAAAAATATTCAAATCTCTTCGAAATTGAGCTATATTAAATTTCAGGCTTCATCCTCTTACTTTGAATCAACATGATTTCCTGGAACTCTAAAATTTTATTATTCTAGAAAATTATCTTTTCTAGAACTCAATTTAGTTTAAATTTCCACTAAATTTCATTAAATTAAACTTCCTCTTTTTCAAATTCAAATCACTTTATTCGCATTATTTACAATTTAAAGTATCTCCGCTATCAATTCCAACATTCCCCCAAAAATTCTAATTTATTAAATTTCTTCTTGCTTGTACACAAAACAAATTTAATTTTTCAACAACAATAAAATCTGTACACAACAAATATTATTATTTTGTATAAATGCCCAAGGCATGCTTTTTATCCCTACGACTCCATTCATGCCCATTTCAATGGATTGAGTGAGAGCGGCATGAACAGATATGAAAGGAATGAAAATCTAATTCAGACAAAAAAAAAATAACAACATAAATGGAGAGTAACAAACATACAGAAAAAAAAAGAGAGGAAGTGTGTAGAATGCAGAAAAAAATGAGGGGATAAAATACATTTTATGCATTCAGGCAGGAACCCAAAATAAAAAAAAAATTTCAAGCCGGAAAAAAATCTCCCCCTTAATATTTACCATGTCAAAGAACTATTTATTGCCTCCAATGTACATAAATTAGTGTCCACTTGCTGTAAAAAAAATCCTTTCGTATTCATTCTCTTTTGTTTGATGTATTTTAATTCGAGTGCTGTTGACCATTTTTTATGTGTGGTGTATTTTATATTTCATCGAGTGCAAAGCGTCCGTGCTGCTTTTATAGCCAAATATTCTGGTTCAAATTATGAGAAAAACTGTCGTTTTGGGTAATTTTTATTTGCTGGTGTTCAATATTTTAGTAAATGTGTATTGCTATCGATGCTGCATCTGTGAATCAGTTGTCTGCTAAACAATTCTATCGATTTTGCAAGTCTGCGGCGGTTATCAATCTTCTTTTGCACTGAAGGCTAATAGAAACTGACATAAATTAAATTCTTTGCTGTGTTCTGCATCCAGGGTTGTTGATTTAGACTTTAGGGTCACCGGAAAGCATTTATATGTGTCAGATAGCTGTGAACTGATATTTCTTGGATTAAGTGATTTAATACAATTGCGAGTCAAGTATTAATCATGTTGGTGCAACATCATATAGTTGACTATCCCCCGATAGCTCAATGATAAGAGCATGTGAATTGAAATCGTAAGATGCGGGTTCTAGTCTCACTCCGGATCCTTTATTTTTTTTCTGATGTTTTTTCATCAAAAATGTTTTCTGTTTTTCCTTTTAAATGTTTTAATTATATAACCTAGGGGTCGTTCACTTATGACGTCCATCTAAAAACTTGATTTTTAGACCCCCCCTCCCCCCTCTGTAACAAAAATTCTATAGAAAAAAATTTCCATTGTTTGAACTGTCACAAAATCCTAGACCCCCCTTCCCCCTAAATGTCGGACGTCATAAGTGAACGGCCCCCTAGATGAAAAGCCGTCTTGGTTCAGTGATTTAGATTCAAAAACTTATTCCTACCCCTTTCGACAAGAAAATTTCATTACTTTCCTAGTCCTAAACCTCTACACCCCCTAAAATAATTCCGTCCGTACAAAATAACTCGGCTAAAATAATTTCTAGCTCCGTCCCTAGTTCTAGGTATCTTGACTGACTTAGAATCTCACTGTTCTCGTTTGTTTTATGATCAATATCTCAATCTTAATCAAAAATTGTCAAATCATAAACGGTGCTTGTGGATATGACTCGATATCAAGAGCATCAAGAGTAGATAGGCCTGAGTATTGGACTCACTTTAAAACTGGTTGTATATAGCCGAAGTGAGATAAGTATCTCGGTGACCGAGTGGTTGGAGATCGTCTCTTTTTTTTTTTTTTTTTTTTTTTTTTTTAATTGCACTTTATTGCATTTATTGACGACATACTGTCCGGAAATAATTCACATTTTACACTTTTGTATTTGTATACATATAAATTAGTATTATGTAGGATCAAACTTTTAATCTTCATATCTAGGTTTCAAATAAACTAAGGCTCTCGTTTCGATCTTCTGTAGGCGTTACGTGATACTTTTCAGGTCCGTTCTATCAATATTCCATTCGTGGGTAATCTTGTAGCTCTCGTTCCTATTTCTCCCGCTACACTTCAAGTTCCTGACCCGTTCCTTAATCCAACGTTGCCCAAATGCCCAATTATGGCTTGATCTAGTACATTAAGCAGTCGAAGTATCTAAACTTCCGAAAAAGAACAAATTTGGAAATGGCTGGATTCGAACCGACGGCCTTCGAGTTACCATCCCAAATTTGAGCCAAGCGCCTTACCTATTCGACCAGCAAGGCACTTAACTGCTTTTGATGTGATGGGTTCGATTACCATCGAACCCGACTTGTTTTACATTATATATTACTGTATATACATACAGCAGTTATTGCGAGATTTACAGTCCTAAAATTAGCTTTTGGTTTAAATGAGTATGTCTTGCCAACGAAAGGTTTGACTAAGATCAGCAATCTAGCTATAAAAAAACGGGTCTTAAACATCAGATTCTGATCAGAATTTTCATTTCCTTTGTAATTTACGGAGCATCATTTTGATACACTAAAGTCAAAGATGTAGTCTAAGCAATGCAAAATTACTAGACAACAACTCTGTCTGCAACATTTCTATCACAGAAAAAAATCCATAACTGCAACTTGCTTCCAACAATTTCCTTACCGACTTTTTTTCATACCGAATTAAAAAGAGAAAAAAAAAACTTTTCTCAGTTCCCTTTTCTCCTCGAGAAAAAAAAAATAATGTTTAATATATCGCACCATTTGCAGTGGAAATGATAAAATGTTGTCGGCTGTTTCAATAACTTCCATGCCTATGAAGGATTATGCAATGGCACATAAATATGTTGTATTATTTATGTAACTTTTCATTGTCAATTGATAAAGTTGTTTACTGCTCGCATCTTATTTGTAACAAGACATGTTCACATGAATTTATTCCTCACATGTTGAAGATGAAGTAAGTTCCGAAAATAAGGGGAAGATACGTCTTGATTAAAATACATTGTTGAAGTAAATTGATAGAGACATATTGTTAAGCTAATTTATTGATAAAAACTTTTGACGTATGAAAAAACCGAAAATTTAATTAAAGCTTGCTTAATAGAAAGGAGGGCATCAAAGGGATGGGAACTGATTTGATTATGGAAGTGAAATTGATGCCATTTAGAAAGTTTTAAAAGGAAATTTATTGGAGGGAATTAGTATTGATTTTATTATTAAATATTGGGTTATTCGTAAATGTTGGCATGCACAACAGCTCCAAAAGTCGAGCATGGAAGTCCCAAAATATCACAGCCATGTGTCCACATAATGAAATAATAACAATTTTTTTTATTTTTTTTTATTTACAGATATAAAAATTTGAACAATACGGTGGTTACGCGTGGTAAGGTCTTGCATGCTGCTGTCCATTCACTGCAATCGTTCGATAAATCATTGGATCAAGTAAGGACTGTTTCTCATATTATTATTATAAATCCCTTTATATACTTAATAAATACACAAAAACATGCGAATATTCTCCACTTTTAAAAGCATTTTCTTGCTTCCAATTTTTTTGTGGATGAAAAGAAAAGAAAAGAAAGAAAATTTTTCGCCACACTTTCTTTTCTTTCCTTCTTCTTCCCATTCCTGCAAATCAGATTAAAGTGAGAGGAAAAAATTAATCATTATAAAATCCATTTATGTTTCTCATTCTCGTCTTGCTTCTTTTTTACTTACTTTCTTTTTTTTTCATATTTCAACAATAACATCCAAAATACAGTTCTTGGCATGGTTGAGTGAAGCTGAATCACTGTGCGAAACAGGAGAAGCATTGGTAAGGAATTTACTTCTTTTTTTTTTAAATATCTTCATGATTCTGTTGCTCTTTTTATGGCTGAGTATGAGATAAATTAAAGAGTTGGAATTTTTAAAATGAACATTTTTCTGACATGCCAAGTTTGTTTCGTGCTGCTTGAGTCATGCTTTTAAGATTTTTTTTAAAAAAAATCTTCATTTTGATTCTCATGAGGAGAAGCATTAACTGGAAGTAGTCGAGAAGTTTTGAGCATTAATCAAAATAAATGAATACCGAGAGACAAAACTGGAAGTGTCACGGCTGCTAATTGTGATAGTTAATTAGAGCATTGATAGTTGCATTTCCAACTGGACTCCAAGTGGTTGCCAAGTGGCAAACATTTCAATGAATTTTAATATGTGCCGATCGGGTACTTCGACTAGAACATTTTTATTGCTCGGGTGTGTCTTAGAACTCAAAATACCACTAATCATTCTATAACTGCTTTCAGCCGAGGGGGAAAACAACATGATGGAAAAACATTGACGGGAATTCCAGCAAATTTTGAGCGAATATTTTGAAATGAAATCGTTAAATAATTGTTTAAAAATTTTCTCTCAAAAAATTTCCTATTCATGCTGTTTCCCCCTCGCTTTAAGCATCAAAACTATTTTAAAAAGCAGTCAGAACCCCCAATTAACCAGCATTCTCAAACAATTAAATCCAATTCTGTACAGCAAAACTCATCCACATGTGCTCAAAAATATTTATATTCCTTTTGCATAGCTCCGTAGCTAAAGTTTTGACTGCTGTGACCTGCAAAAATGTTGAAAACGTTTTTTTCTTGATCTGACAAGTACATTAATTTGTCGACTGATGCCCTTAATACCATGAGATTGCTCCGCATTTTATAAATAGACTCTTCTGAAAAGCCTATATATTCTAGCCACTTGGATTCAAAAGAAAAAATTTTGTTTTTCTGACTTGCTATACAGAATAAGACGAATTTTCATTTTTCCACGACGATTATGAAAAAAATTGAAATTTAAAGCTGAAAATCATCTATTATTCAGGTACAGTCAATTCTCAAATGAGTTCAGCTCAAGGCAATTGTCTTAATGCGTTAATTTAATTTGTAATTAAAATTTCAAACCTTGAAACTTTGTGAATTGTTGGAAGGGAAGGTAAAATTCTTAACTGTTCAATTTACACTTAAAAAACTTAAGAGACGATGGCTCAATTCAATCAATAATCTTTACGTGACGTGAAAAAATAAGCAAAAAGCACATTATATTACAATGTCCCATAATGCTGGAAGAGTATCAAATATCACGAGGCAACAAAGGAGTTTACAAAATTTTGTTTGATTGATGCTTGCCGAAGGTTGAAGTTTGAAGGTGAAATTTATTAAATTTCTGAACAAATCTGTGAGCAAAAAAAAAGTTTGTGATGTCTACAAAAAAATATTGGAAATTCTGATGAAAAGGCGATTACGTTTTCTCTAGAAATTTTTAACAACTTTGGTTGTAAGTATGTCGATGACCTGATGAAAAAAAGACAACATTGATTTTCTTGTAATCGTCTTTGGGAGTTGTTTTGAAATTAAGTGGCTGTTACTTGATTAGATCTTATAATGAAAGATGCATGAAAGACTTGAATGTCTAGTTAATGATGCACAAATGACAAAAAACCTTAACAGACAAGTGAGTATACTCATGGTACCGTAACATACTCAAGAGTATGATCTAAACATAAGTAAACTCCACTTTTCTGTTAGGGTGAGGTTCAAATCACGATCGTTAATGAAATGAATGTTTAAGACTTCTTCTTTAGAGTCGTGCATTTATGACGTCTTCAAAAACATGATTTTTAAGTCCCCCTGTCACAAATATTCAATGGATTAAATTTCCTTGTTTTTAAAATGTCACAAAATTCAGACTTAATGCTGAACTTCATAACTTAAGCCCCTGCTAAGAATTAATATTTTCATATCCTCTCCTAAATCAACTTTTACGTCATTTGTGAATAACAATTAAATTAAAAATTCGATTCTTTCAACAAGGGTGTGCATTCATGTTCCTTGTTAACCATCAGAAGTCAAATAAATGACATTAATATAGTGAGAGCACTGTTGCATGTGCCCAACAGCATATTGTGATAATCGATACCAGAGACAGCTGGAGGTTTTCTTTAACTAGTCAACCTTGCACTTTTTTTGGATGTTTTTTTCCCATACAAATAGCTAATAGCCTCATTAAAAGAGCTCTACATCAAATAAGAGTTAAAAATATAACATGAAGCTGTTCTTGAGGTACCATGTCGCAGCATGACACTAGTATTAAACGGTCATCAATTAAAATGACCCTAAAATCAACCCAAAATAAGATTGCGAAATTTTTGGACTTATGAACCCCAAAAAATAAGTACTCAAAAGTCTCAGTTTCATGAGCCTTTAAATCGCTTTTAAAAACTCAAAAAAAAAAATAACAAATTTTTCATCTAGAATTTTCAATAAATCCTACAAAGAAAGAAAGTTAAATCATTATTTCAAATGAAAGACTTCAAAAACACAAAAATCAGATCAAAGGCTTTGAAAGTCTGAAGCCTTGCATACCTAATTATCCTCCATAATATCATGAATAGAATAGAATGTAATGTAGGGTTTTGCTAATAGCAAAAGCGGCACTGCGATCGATGATCTGTTGTACCATCCCAAGTCCCCTATGTTAGAATTCCGATGTCCTTAATGAAGCCAATAATGTCCTGATAATGCTGCTTATTTATATCCTCATCATTCAAGTAGTCCTCATCAAAATGCTTGACACGTTGTACTCGTAATGCTCTGCATTTACAAAGAATATGAGTGATTGTTTCCTCATTTACCTTACAAAACCTGCAAATTTTACTGTTAGACAAATTCAATTTAAAAAGAAAACTATTGATATTCATGTGTCCTGTCAAAGCACCAATTAAGATGCTAAGATCTTTCCTTGGTAGTCTGAGAGCATCAGATATTTTGTTCTTATTTTTAGGACCAAGAAGTCTTTTGGCTGTCATGGCTCCTTCCTCTAAATTCCAGATACGAAAATGCTGTCTCTCCATCCATTCTCGTATGTTTGACTTCAACAAGCCAAACCCATAGTACGTCGACTTGTCATAATCTTCCTTGTGTACTGCTTCTTTAGCTAATTGATCAGCTATTTCATTACCTTCAATACCACTGTGTCCAGGTATCCACTTTAGGATGACTTCATTTTCTTGCCCCAATGCTGTTAAACAAGAAATACAATCAAGAACTGTTAAAGACTTCACAACACAATTGTTTAAAGCCGTCAAAGCTGATCGACAATCTGAAAGAAAGCAAATTCTACAGCCTTTCAAATCCATATCCAAACAGTAATTAGCACCCACACAAATAGCTTGAACTTCTGCCTGAAAGACAGAAGCATGATCTTGCAGTTTGTAGGATGAATTCAAACTCAGCTCATTGCTGAACAGACCGATGCCAACACCACTTTCTGACTTTGATGCATCAGTGTATACAGACATACAATTCCTATCCACCAAATCACAAGATTCAGCAGCATTATCTTCTGATTCAACTACCTTAAAAGGTTTGCCAAAAACGTATTTTGACACTAAATGATCTGATTCAAAGGTGAATAAACTTACACTTCTTAGAAACCGATTTAATTCCATGTGACCAGTTGAGATCCAGTCATTAACCCACAATTTATTAACCTTCAATTTGGATGCGCTTGTTTGAGCTGCAGCTTCGATTCTGACTCGAAGTGGGGGAAGCTCAAGGAATCTATCCAAAGCCAGTTTCGGAGTAGTTTTCCAAGCACCGCAAATTGACAATTCTGCTATTCTTTGCAGTTTCTCAATTTTCTGAGAGGCAAAAACTTGTTTCATTTTATGCCACCAAACAACACATCCATACATAATTCTTGGTAGAATAACTTGCTCATACAGCCAATACATCATATTGGGTTTTAATCCCCAGTTTTTACCAACAATTGATCTACAAGCCCAAAAGGACTTAATCACCTTACTTACAACGAAATCTACATGCAAATTCCAGTTTAATTTGCTGTCTAGGTAGATACCAAGATACTTTGCTTCATAACTGAATTCTATCCTTTGACCATACATAACTGGAGGACGTAGCTCACCTAATTTATGCTTCGTACTGAAAGGAATTACAATTGTTTTGGCTGGATTTACTGATAAACCAACTTTAGCACAAAAACCTTCTACAATGTTTAAAGACCTTTGAAAAACATCTAACACTGTGTTAGTAAATTTACCTTTTACTAAAATAAAAATATCATCAGCATAACCTTGGGCAAAGATGCCCCCTGAGCCATTTAGATCTTCCAATAAATCATCAATAACCAATGACCACAACAGGCAAGACAAGTTGCCGCCCTGTGGTGTACCACGTTTCACCATGATGAAAACGATTTCCCCGTTCAATGATGCTTGAACGATTCGCGATCTTAGCATATTGCTGATCCACTGTACTATACTTTGTGGAACTCCTCTTCGGTGTAGAGCATTTGTGATAACATCGAAGCCAGTGTTGTCGAAAGCACCCTCAATGTCAATAAGGCCTCCCACCATAAAATCCTTGTCGAAGAAACCCTTTTCGATTCTAGATACAATACTATGTAAGGCAGCATCTGTCGATTTACCAGGTTGATAAGCAAACTGATACTTAGACAAAGGCCTACTTGACAGAATTTCATCCCTTATATATCGATCAACTAATTTTTCCAATACCTTTAATAGGAAAGACATCAGACTGATAGGTCTAAATGACTTAGCTTCAGCGTAAGTGTCTTTACCTGGTTTTGGAATAAAAACAACTTTAACACTTCTCCATGATTTTGGAATGTACCCTGTATCCAAACTGTACCTAAATAGACTGAGTAGATAAGGCATCAACTGACCTAAGCCTCTTTGTAAGAGCACAGGAAAGATACCATCCTCTCCTGCTGACTTAAAAGGCTTCAGAGAATTGACTGCCCAAGTAACTTTCTCCTCAGTAATGACTTTGTCTGCCAATAATCCATCACCAGGCAAAAAAGTACCCAGCTCACTATAGTCCATTGAGTCATCAACTATTGTTGATCCAGGAAAATGAGCACTCAAAAGTAGCTGAAGACTTTCACTACTGCTATGAGTAAAAGTCCCGTCCTGCTTCTTGAGTGCACCGATTGTTGTATCTGCATTTCTCTTCGTCATTAATTTGTGAATCCTTGCGCAGTCCTCAAACCGTTCAATTTCTTCACATTTATTTTTCCACGAAGCAAGTGCTGCTTCCTTAATAGAACTACTGTACCTGGTTAGTGATTCCTTATAGCCAGATCGCAATGAAGCTTCAGCTATGCTAAAACCTTGTCTTACTAGCTTTTTACTTTGATTCCACTTTCTTCTTACAGCCTTTCTCATCTTATCCAACCCTGAATTATACCATTTGCATTTACCATGTTTACATGGCTTACTGACCTTACAGTTATCTGTATAGGCATGCAAAATGGCTTCATTCAAATTTCTAGAAAGACACTCAGCTTCAGTCCGTGTTGAAATGTTCCAATTTAAACCATTTAAATACTCAATCAAGCTACATTTATAACCAATCCAGTCAGTGTTTCTCGGGTTTCTAAAACCCTCCCTAGCAGATTCACTAGACATTACCTCAAAAGTAATATATCTGTGGTCCGAAAGGGATGGCTCATCTGAAACTCTCCAATCACTGACTGCATTGCATATACTTCTATTGGAAAATGTGATATCAATCACATCCTGTCTAATGCTGTTGCAGAAAGTAGGTTCATTACCTTCATTCAAAACAATCAATTCCTTAATAAGCAGAAATTCCATTAGGCTCTCCCCTCTTTTGTTTGTATCGCTGCTACCCCACACCACATTGTGTGCATTAGCATCGCAACCAACAATTAGATTCAAGCCACTTTTGTTACAATAATCAACCAAATTTATGATGTTATGACTTGGTGGGTCATATACCGAATCATAAGGAAAATACCCACTACAGAAAATAATGTCAACAAAATTGCCGTTCTCATCTTTTAATGAGACCTTAACCGTGACTTCATCGGTGTCGGTGAATTGAGGCAGTACAAAATACTTTAAACTCTGATTTACTAAAATACAAGATCTTACCTTACCATTGTTTTGTTGATACAAAATAATTCCATTTTGAGTGTTGATGCACACTACATTATTCTTCATATAAGGTTCTTGAATAAGAACTATATCAAATAAACCCTTATCAAAATTTTTACCAATTTCTAAGGCTGCAGCTTTTGAGTGCTGCAAATTAGCCTGACAGACTTTCATGCTAGCTCAATAAAACCCCTAGAATACACAAATAGTTCCTTGCATAATATCATACTCGAACGCTTTCTTTTTAAGCCTAATTTCAAATTTGTGAAGCAATTTTCCCTTCTCTTTCATTAAATATTAAATGTCTCGTCAAAAGTGATCAAAAATTCCAGCGAAACTGATTGTCGTTGAAACTAAGGAGGTGAAGGGTTGAAATTTTTTAAAATTCTCCGAAAAATGTTTTAAAAATTTAAAGAGTCTTTAAATCCAAACCTTCGTGAAACGAACAACATTATACCAGGAAATCCATAACAATTTTCCCCGAAATAGCCACAAAATTACTATTGTAATTTTCACACAGTCGCGACTCATGACAAACGAAGAAAAGGCAATTGTCACGCAGGGTAAAAGAGCAAGCAACAGAATCAAGTCTAAAGAAATTTATTGACAGCAAGTTGAACACTTACTTGCTTCACTCATTGTTATTTCTTCATTTTTAAAAACTTTAATGCTGTGACACAAAAAATTACAATGTTCCTTCCTTTCTTTATTTCCATCATCAACAGACCGCCGAGGGTGGAGAGATTGAAGCAAAAGCTCTGGTTAATTTAAAGGTGAGTCTAAGTTCCTTAATAAACATTTTTCTTCGTGTGGTGAAAAAAATTCACAAAGCTCGCATAAAGTTTAAAATCCCGTCAAGAGATGGCGCTAGCATCGACGATGATTTCTAGCTTCCCCTTTTTTTAACTCGAAAAAAAAACTGAAAACAGATTTCTGTATCATCGCATTTAACCTTTATAAAGAGCATGAGACGTGCACAGCTCGTAAGCAATGAAGCCTAAGATAACAAGTGATTCATGTTTATGAGATTCTCAACATTGTAGAAATGCGAAAATGTATAAAATGCAAAAATATCAGAAAGAGAGATTTCCATAAGCATAATAGATAAAAATAATAATAATAAATTTTTGTTGCATACGCACATACGGTATGTGTGTGTTTGAGATGTCTGCACGGAAAATTATGTTAGATCGAATCATAAACTATAGGTAGTACTAGGGAAGTATTGTTGGGAGAGAAACACAAGTTTATTACACCACCCTTGGTTGGAATCAAAAGCTACTTAGCGCAGAACAGGGATGAAAGAATGTCAGCTTAACGTGCGAACACAGAAATTGAATAAACTAGGTGACAGAGCCAGCAACAGATTCAGATGTTGTATCCTAAGTTCCACATAAGAAATAGGTTACAGCAAGGTTACAGTAAGGATTGGAAGTATTTCATGAAGTTTATAGTTTATTATGAAATATTTGGATCTTGGTATACTTTTTAACATACTTTCACGACCTTGTCGCATGGCTTCATAAGCTATTCTGGACGAAAATTCAAAAAATCGTAATGAGAATCGTCAATTTGGGGAAATACTTGAATTTTGGGGTTAACCAAAGGTGCGAAACTGATAAATTTATTGATGATTTTTGATAGTTTTTAACTGGATCATTCCTTGCTATTTGATAATTGTTACACAACTGACAGTAAAGTAGTCAAATCTACAGCTTGATGATATCTACTTTGCACAAATAATGCGACCAGTTTAACAATATCTAGTAACCAACCATCCTCAAAGATTATATAACTGTCATAAAAAATTTCATATCCTACCTATCCACTTCACAAATCCTTTCTCTGTGCCTTTTTCTCTTTATTTCAATAATCGAATATAAAGAAGGAAAAAAAATATTCAAAAAATAAAGTTGAGGAGAAAAAAACTTTTTAATTAAATTTAATGGGTCGGAAAATTGCTATCCACAAACACACAAAGGGGATAATGGAGAGAGCAAAACATGGGAGCAATAATCGTAGTATTGATTATCAAGTTCACACATATTTTGCATATGAACAATAATTTTTTTTTTCGTGATGTTAAATTTAATCGATTGACCATTAATGAATGTCTAGGTATGTTGGTGAAAAGTCTATGGATTAAATTTATTAAACTGATATTTTTTGGTTGAGGTTGGAGGATAAGCTGCTTTATAGGTTGCTGAAGGATTCTAAGAAAAGTTTATATTTAAGTCTCGTTTTCCAACCGCTCTTCCCCTACTTAATTACTTCCTTACTTCGCTGGCTCTATAGATCAATTGTGATCCATGGCATCCCTTAGATGACGCCTAAAGCTGGCTCTATCGCTGGCTACCGTTTGCCAATTACCAATAATACCCTTCCCCTATTAGACATAATAATTACATCAAAGTCAAAAATATCCATAATACCCTGCCTACGGCCATACCTATCAACCTACATATTCAAAATTGCAATAATAATTGTCATGTCACATCCGCAATTTCCATTTATTTGAATTAGTTCACATAAATATATCCGAAAATTCACCACAAGCATCAGCATCCACCTGAATCGGATGAAATAGATGACGAATAAATAATAACGTGTGGCTCAATTTAAATGCCATTGATCGATTTTCTCTGTTTTAATATTTATCGCACAGGAAATGAGAAACTTTTTTTTTCTTCCTTTTTGCTGTTTCCAAAAGCTCGACTGTAAATCGAAAAAGTTTTTCATTTTTTTCTGCTGCTGTTTAGGAGTCGTTCGTTAATGATGTTTATCGTGAATTTAATAATAAGTTCTTTAATTCTTTTGTATGACATTCAAAAAAGTCCTGTATTTCAAAACCCTGTCCTGTATAAATTTTTAAATTTTGTTCCTGGTCCTGTATTTTTTTCATGAAAATTTCCGTTAATTTTCGAATTTTACTCCATGTCCTGTTTTTTTCGAAAAAATATACCAAATGTCCTGTATTTTCATGAAAACTAGATGGTAACCCTAACAATACCCTCAATTATACACTTTTATGTGACGTCATTTATGAAGAACCCCCAAATTTGTTGTTATTTCGTGTACCTTTTTTGTTGTCTTTATTGTGACAATGAAAACAACAATGATGATTATGAGGCAAACATAGCATCAAGGAGGTTGGGAGGATGCTGGCAGTTGTATTTGGGACAAACAAACAATCGACATAAGAAAGCACATTGCTTCACTGAAATAAATAAAGAGACAAATTGTGCTGCTGCTGTCATGTGTATGTGCATCAAAAGAAGCATACGGAAAAAATACCAGATTGTCAATAGAAATCTGTTGATTTTTTTATTTCGTAAATTTCCGTGATTTGATGTTTGTTTTCATGATTTTCCTTCTTTTTCCTTTCAATTCAATTGTGTCAATCAGTCTGCTGGCTTCTTAGTTACTTTATTGAAGTAAAAGCTTTATTTTATATTTTCACATAAGCTGAAGATGTTTGCAGTTGTGATGCAAAAGATGTTCAATTTAAATTGATTTGTTACACGCTGCTAGTCATATTCTTGTTTCCTTTGATGTAAGTAATGTAGGCACAACTTGTTTAAGGGAGGAAATGAAAGTTTTTTTCAATTCAAAGCTGATTTAAAATTTGGGGAATTTTTAAATTTTTGTAAGCTTTTAAAACGTTTTTTTTTTGAATGATGAGGACATTATTGGCTTTATTAAAGACATAGGAATTCTAACATAGGGGACTTTGGATGGTACAACAGATCATCGATCGCAGTGCCGCTTTTGCTATTAGCAAAACCCTAAATTACATTCTATTCTATTCTAAGCTTTCAACAGCTTCCAAGCTAGTTCTAAATAAATTTAGACAGCCTTCATGTCTCTACAATCTACGCACAGTCAATAATGAGTCCATTTACCTTAAAATACCTCCCATTAAAAGCAATCATTTTTCAACGTCCAAAAGAAATTTTGACATTCATTTAATGACAATTCCAGCATCTCCATGTACCTGCTCATAATTCTCAATTCATCCGAAAGTAGTCAGTCGACATTTCATTAACAATGAAATTTATTATCATTTTTTAATGGCAATTTTCATTGAATAGAAAGAAGACGTAATGAAATTATTCGTCCGTTTGAATGACATTTAAAAGCTATGGCACCTAAAGTCGCAAAAAAAAGAAGTAAGCGAGCAAAGGAAGAAAAATAATTGAATTGATTTATTTTTTTGTCGTGCTCAAAAGTAATTTATCGACTCGATTGGATGTGCTCTGTGGGTGGTTTGTGTTAAGTTGGAGGAACTTTTTATTGTGAAAAAAATTGTCTTTAATCTCCAGACTGTAAAAATTCAGAGGAATGTGCTTGGAACTTTAAGCAATAGTCTATGAGCTTTAAGCTTTAATTGAAACTTGTGATCGTAGGCTTTAACTGAGAAATGCTTTTGTAGTTTTGTGTCTGTAAGCTGCTACGACGATTCAGCGTTGCTTATTTCAAGATGTGACTTTTTAGGTTAGATTCATTGCACTGTTTTTGATTCTGTAGCGTATTAAGTGTCTACAGCTTTCTAAATTACTTTACTTCCTTAGCTGCTTCATTCATGTGCTTATTACTACGTGAAGGCAGTTTGAACTTGGCAACCTTTTGCCAGTGCAGGATACTAAAGTCTCTAGCACCAGTTTTAAAATATCTGACACTAAAGTTTTTCAGTCTTCATCTTGATCTTTAATAACGGTTGTTGACATATTTTACTATTTTTTATATTTCGAGCCTGATCGGCACACAATAAAATTCATTGAAGGCAGTCAGGTTGGGAGTATAATTAGAACCAAGCGGCAGCTATTTGGCAACGGCAGTTGGAGACGTTTTAGTTTTAATCGTTCATACTTGTCAGCGTTTCTTGAATTAAGTGTCAAAAAGTATCGAAACCAATAAGATCCAATTTTCAGCTCTAGGTCCAAAGTACTGAGCTTTTACTCATAACTTACAGTAAATTGCAAACTTTTTCATTAATTTCTGTTGATAATCTTCTTATGTCCCCAAACATTCGTCAAAATGCCAAACAATCTTCTCCAAAATGTCACAAAATCGACCAAAAAATTCTTCATCATCTTCAACAAACTTTCTTGTCGATTTTCTCCAGTTCCAGTCGATTTTCATTTTCTATGTCACGACTTTTATTTCGTTAATTATAATTCTCTTGACGACAATTAAATGGCCAGCATGTAGAAAAAGGAACAGAAAAAATAGGATCGATTGATGTGTAACGCACGCACCAGGAAACAATAAAGCAAATGGTGTCAATGGGATGAGGGATATACTCTAAAAATAATAATGATAATAATTCATTGTTAATGAAAAGTACACGGATTTAATCGATTATTTTAGGCTTGTGAAAATTGAATATAAATATAAAGGCACACACAACACAACAAAAAAGTCCAACGCACATCGTAATTATCAAGTTTTTGTTTTTACAGTCTACACACATTATTCAGGCGTGTGTGTATTGATTTTGAAGCATGCGACAATGGATGTTATTATAGCACTTGTCGTGTCGTAAATTTAAGTGCTTGTCATTATGAATTCAATAAACTTATTAAGCAGGGGAAAGGGATTAATTCTGATTTATACTTAAACATAGTAATTACTATTATTTTCAACTTGTTTACATGCATTCAGCTAGCTACAAGCTTGTTGAGCACATAATTCGATTATATAAAAGTTAACATTAATTGTCTCTGATTCCTCAAATGTCCGCTCTACTGCTGGATGGATGGGATATTGAGTG